TTATCAGAGAACTTCAAAATAGTTTAATTAAATTCCAGAAAATTACACGAAGTTTGGGTAAAAACCAAGGAGTTTCATAGCTCTTTATAGCAATTTTGAAAACTTCAAGGATGGCGGGTTGGTAGTCTTTATTTAGGAGACTTTCATCCCAAGGCTGGGTCATCTCTGGTCTCCAGGGATATTCCATGAACTTTAGGGAATATCCGAAACGTAACGTTTGCATTAAAAAAGAAGATTTTTTTTCGAAACGAGCTAGAGAAAAAAAAACTACATAAAATAGAACCAAACTTGTAATTTTGCTTGTGAATAGTGCTTATTGATTTACTAGAATGAATTAGTTCATTTCATTCCAGCCTTTTCTGATAGCTTTGCGATAGCTAGCTGGGACCCTAGCCATAGTGGTCGATTTTATTTTCTATGTCTGTTCGACCACGTTTTTTGTAATAAAGTAATTGGAGTAGATTTTTGTGTTGGGATTTGAGCAGAAATTTTCAATTGGACGCAGTTGAGAAAAATAGGGAGGGTAGAAATTTAGAGTTGGATGAAATGAACAAGTGTTCGGGTGAAGTTTCCCAACTTTTTCGGCCACAACTACAGAAAAGCAATACGCATCACTTTGGTGGTAAACATTAAACATATGACCGCATGAAATACCATAGTAGAATTTATCGCTAGATGCCTGAAAATGTCTTCTTTTTTAATGCATACGTTACAGAGATATTTCGAAAACTTCAGAAATGTTCCGAAAGCTACAGAAAAATTCTAAACTTTGTGAATTTCTTTCTATAAGAGCTTTAGGGGTGATTTCCGAGAACTTCAGGGCAGTTCTATGAACTTCAGTTCCAACAACTTAAAAAAAACCCGAATTTATCCACCTATGGTGTGATCAGACCCTTCTTACTTATTCAAGTTTATTTATTTTATTGCCATTATCAGTGACCAAGCCCCCCACCCCCGTGTCATCCAGTGACGCTACGCCACTGCCTGGGGGTACCCGGAATATATCCGGGTGTAGTCTATTTGGTGAGGCTACCAATCACCTTATCATCGTATTTTAATGTGATTTAATGGGTTTTAATTCAATTCATATTCAAGCAACTTCCCCGGGGTACCCGAAGCATGTCCAAGTGTGTCCAATGTGGTCTGGAACACTTAACACGACTTGCATTGATCTTATTTTTGAATTCTGTAGTAATTTGATGTGTCGCATGATGGTTTTGATACGTTTTCCGTTAAATCCAGCGTGAAGGCCCATATTCACCGGATCTTATTCCGGCCATATCTCCGGAACTGGTTCACCGATTCCAAAACCGTTCAATAGCGTTCAATGGGATCCCAAGACCTATCATTTGGCGCCGAGTTTGTCCAAATCGGTTGAGCGGTTGCTGAGAAACGTGAGCGCATTCATTTCGTTACATACACACACACATATACACATACACACGTACACACACACACACAGACATGTTCCGATCTCGTCGAGCTGAGTCGAATGGTATATGACACTCGGCCCTCCGGGCCTCGGATCGATAGTCGGTTTTTCAAGTGATATCTATACCCTTCTTTGTAAGAAGGGTAAAAATGCAAATTTAACTTAACTTTAACAATTAAAAAAAAAAAAACTTAAGGAAGGTCAAACAGTTTCGGAAAGGTACTGAGAACTTTTTGATGCATAGCAAAAATTTCGTAAATTTACATTAGTTGAACCATACAGCAATACAATTTTAATTTTACGTGAGAGTGTTTAATAATCCATGCATTTGCTTGAATTTTACATGAATCTGCGTTTTGACATCGCAGTGAAAAGTTCAGTTGAATTTAATTTAATTTTCAACGAACAACACTTAAAATTTACATGAACGTGTGTTTCAATAAATTGAACTACTGATCGTTAAACATGTAATTTTATATTCGTAAACCTGCTCCAGTTAACAAAATATTTTTATCTTCAAAAACTACAGGAAAATAATGAGATATTCAAGAACTTTTCAGATGATTCAAGAACAAAGTTTAGAAAATTTCATATAAATCATAAAATCATACAAACAATGGAAAACTTTATGAAAGTACCTTAATATAAAAAAAATGCGGGACCTTCAAGAAATTCTGAGAATTTCATGAAACTTTCAAAAATTTAAAAGAAATTCCAAAAACTTTACCGTACTTCCGAGAGCTTCACGAATGTTGCTAAGAAGTTCTGAGATCATTTAGCGTAACTTTCGATAGTTATTGTAATGCAATTATTAAATTATGAAATGGCTCTCGGCTTTGTGGAGTCCTTGTGGACATTTGAGCCTAACAAATAAACTAATTGAAACAAAAGTTCCGATAGCTTCAGGGCTTTTCTATGGGAAAACTTTTAGAAATTTAGTGAAGATCAAATAGCTTTAGGGTAGTTCCATTTACTTCTGAAAAAATACAGGAACTTTACAGAAATTTCTAATACTTTAATACTTAGAAGAATACTAGAAGTTTCAACACTTCAGTTGTGTCAAAATATCTTGAGGGAAATTACGTAGCTTCGGAAAGTTCTGAGAACCCAGCAGGGCAGTTTCATGAAAGTCAGGAAAATTGCAAGAATCTTCCAGAAGTTTAAAACAAAATAAAATCCTTAATTTGTTTTCCGTTGATCTTTATGCCCATACTGAGTACCAACGCTACCAACGCCAAGGAGCCCAGCTCCCACACTTGGACCCTACCTATCGATACATCAACACATATTCCTCGGATCAACGGCTTTACTTCCTTTCCGAAGGAAGGCGTGATCAGTGATTTTATGGCTCAGAAAATCCCGGTGGCACCGACTGGGATTGAACGCACGCCCTTTGGGATGATAGGCAATCACGCTTTTTACTACACCACCAGTGCCGCCGAGTTTCAAAAATTAAAGATTATCAAAAATTGAAATAATAATCTTCCCAGAAGTTGCGAGAAATTCATGGATGTGCAGAAAAGGTGGGGAAGTTTATAAATCTTTACGGCAGTTTTATTAGCTTCAGGGCAAATCCAGCATCATCATCAGTAACAACTTCAGAAACGATTAGAGAAATTCAGGGTAGTTCTCAAAAAATGAACGCAGAATTTCCAATGAAGAACCTCATTAAAGCTAGGTCTAGAAATCTCTAGGAAGCTCAGTCCCAGTAACTTCAGGAAAGTCCCAACTTTCGGGGAAATTTAAAGTTCAGTTAAGGTTAGCTTTTATTAATTTAAGGTAGGACCATTTGAGAAGTTCCGAGGATATCAGGGAGGTTTATAGAACTCCTGAAAAGCGAAGAAATCTTCAGACATATTTTGGAGCTGAAGTCCAGAGATTCTTAGGGGACTTTAATGATTTTCATGACAGTTCCATTTGCTTCAGGGCTGTACCAAACACTTCAGGAAAATTGTGAGAACTTCAGGGTAGTTTTGCGAGAACATCGGGGATAATCAGAGAATCTCAAAGCAGTTAAATTTACGTCAAAGTTTTCAAAAAATTCTGCAGTTTAATTATTTTCAGAGATGTTCCAAGTATTTCAAGGAAGATAAGAAAATGTCAAAACAGTTCCGTTAATTAATTGCAGAATTTATTAAGAGGTATCGAGAAATTGTGAAGTATCCCAAGAATTTGAGAAATGTTTTATTTATTTTTTAAATTGCGAGTTATTCAGAGAAGTTTCTTGAAAATCAAGAATATTGTTGGAAGTTAAGAGAAGCTCCACGAATTCTATGAAAATTTAGGGAACTTCATGGATGAACGAAATCTTTAGGCAAGTCCAGGTAAGTTTCGAGTTTTTAATTTAAGTTCCAACCGATATAAGAAATATCGATAACTTAAGATAAACTGTGGGAGCTTCAGGATAGATGAAAAAAATTTCAAGGCATTTCAATTAATGTCAGTTGGGTTGCGGAAATAAGCGGGAACTTAAAAAAATATAAAAAATTCAAGGATGTCTAGTGAATTTTTATTGAAGATCAGAGATCTTTAGGGCAGTTCAAATCACTTTAGAGAAGTTCTGAAATCACCGGAAAAGTCTAGACTCAGTCAGTCGGTGCTGATTACAGTTTTATCGAGCAACGTTATGTTTTTCTACACATTATATTTAAGTCTAATTTGCAACAAACTTGTATGTTTTAGTAGTTCAGAAATCAGTCTACATTATGCTCTTTTGTCGTGTATATCTATTTTTTTCTGAAGGAAGTATTACTGCTGCCTAAAGCTACAAAAAATTTAAAACGGCAATTTTCAGTGCTCAACCTGTAAAATCTCTATCTTGTTAGACTCTTATTTCTCTTCGATCCTTGTTTGGACCTTATCCGAGGTAAAACTGCTTGGCATTCGACTTGGAAAATTCCTTTTCAATCCTTCAGGTTCGTTTATTAATAATTTCAGCCAATTGCAACGATTAATTTCCTTTATACTTAGATAAGATTTAGTTTTAGTTTTAAGATGTCAATTGTTATACTGACATGCAGGTTTAATATACTGAATTGGCAAGGCAGGAACATTGTAAAAACACTTAGATATATATCATAACAATTAAGGCTGGTGATTTACTGTAGTAGCTGGAGCACCTAGGTTAAAATGAAATGTAATTTATTTTGAATTTGGAAGTTGATAGTTTGTAATCGTCAACTTCACGCATGAAGTAACAAAAGACTGATTCGAAATTTTAATAATATGAATTCATATCAAACACGTCATGTGGATTAGTTAGCGCAAAATTTGGAAGGCTATTCACATTGATCTGAGCACTGTGGAATGTTGAGTTTAATCATATTAAATAATGCTGCATGGCATTAAGTTGGAGGGTAACCTAACACAAAATTTTATATTGAAAATATTCATCATAAGAAATTAAAGTTGTATTTAAATCTACCACTGAAAAACACAACAAAACCGACACTTGAATTTGACTTGAATAATAAATTACAAAAGGGACAACGAAAAACCTTTCCGCTGGTTGATTTTCCGCTCATCCAATACCGAATTACACATGAACTGTTTGTTGTATCCTTTGCAGATGATGCCGAATGTGAGCTGAACTGTAAACCGATTGGTATGCGCTACTTCGCTACACTGAACAAGACGGTTATCGATGGTACACCTTGTAGCAAACCGACCGAGTATTTCCGGCGAAATAACAGTGGCAGGGGAATTTGCGTAGACGGAATCTGCAAGGTAAGTAACAGTATGCAAACAGCGGCGGAGCGGTGCTGTGGTATATATCTACAGAACAAATTCCGGTTGGTGAATGGTATGAAGAAGATTCTGATATGGGAACATATTACACTTTTCACTGTTGCGAACCGAGTTTTGGTTAACAAGATAAACCTCATGGATGGAACTTTGAGTAAGCACACGGATTGATTTTACATGTTAAATTTTCTCAGTGCATTCTCTCTATGCATCTACATATCCGGAAACACGCAAAGCTACCGATTTTAATGTGCTAACATGGTTCGCTTTGCTTTCACCATTGTTTCTTCCGGCGAAGAAGAAGCACAAGATTTACATTTCAATCTATTTGTAACCCGATTTTACTAAATGTTTTACATATCAAACATGTAAAGGCACTTCACCGCTTTCGACTTATAAAGCGTTGAATTTCGCCTAAACTGATCCACGCATTCACGATGGATCGAGCAAGAACACCCAACGACCCAACAAAAAATGAACATTTTGATTTAAGACCTATAAACCTAGAAATGCTGTTCCAGCCAGTGACAATTTGCTCGGATCGATGCCACACATTTAATTCAAGGGGCGATCAGAAAGAGAAACAAATGATAACTCATGCTTCGATTAATAAATTATCATCGGTTTCGCTTTCAATCGCTACCATGGTGATGCAGTTTTGCGTGTTTTCCCCCTTTGCCCTCTCAGTTGTAAACGCACATATCCGGAGTGATTTGAGATTTGGGCGTAATTGCTTTTGTAAACAAACGCGTCAATTACTGATTTCTCTTGAATAAAAGCTCAATCTCACAAACAAACTATACCAAATGATAGAGGAATCATTCCTCTACCTCATAGTGTTGTTACTTTTCGAGATTGAGCTTTTATTTGCGAGAAATCGGTGATTGACGTGTTTGTTTACAAATGCAATTACGCCCAAATCTCAAATCACTCCAGATATATCGGATTCAATAGCCTGCTGCTCCTATACGATTCCAGCAAGCATGAATGGAAGCATCGTCAGAGACTTAATTGGATTATGAAACTATAAAGTGCCGACGCACTGTGAGATCAACTCGAAGCGAGGAATTGTAACAGTGTAGTTACGGCGGGAAGCAGGATCGGAAGAGTGCCACAAAACTCGATACTCATGTTGCACTAATTGATTGTATAAAAAAAGTTGTTTCAGTTTCACTTGACGTATATTGATCTCGGATTGAAATTCAATCAGCAATGATCATCTGGAAATTAATTGAGAGCATATGCCAGGGTTTGTTTGCGACTGGTGCCTCATATATGTCTATTAGTTGGTAATTCACGGGTTATTCAGTGTGCTTTGTATTGTTTACTTATATTTATTGCTCACTATAGTACTCACTATTAAGGCTAGTAATCACCTTTCCAGGAAAACTTATTATTATTATACAGATAATTTAAGGAAAATCTGTTCGAAGCTAATTCCTAAATATTTGTTTTCAACAAAAATTTCTTTAGACACTACACACAAAAACAAGGTTCTGAGAGGTTTGGACATGTTCGAAGTTGCACTTTCTGAAAATCAAGATTACGAATAATATAAGTTAAAAAATTTATTAAAATACATTATAACAAAATACTCACTTAGAGCCGTTCCAGGCAAAATAGCAAAACACAAAATTATACTTGACCTTCTTCGATTTGCATAATAGTTTGCAATGGGTAATCATCATTGGGGAGGGGGCCCAGGGGGAGGACCTGTGGCATTTTTTATTTTGTTAAACTACAGTTAATTAGAAAATCTAGAATTACCATTCAATCAAAAGGCGTCAAAACTATTTGTTATTTTTTATGTAGGATACATTTCTACTTCGTCCAATAATACAACCCTTTATGGCAAAGCTTACTATTATTTTCATGTTGAAACATTAAAATGTATTGTATTTATTTCATAACAACGCTTAGGGGGGTCTTAAAAGCAAGCATACTGATTTCTAACAAGCAATCGTTTGTTCCAGCTTTTTGTAATGAAATTTCATATTTTCCGTATCTCATAAGGATTTAAGGATCTCACAATTAAGAAAATTCTCATGTTAGATAGTTCTCAGGGTTAGATAATTCCATGAATTTTGTAACTAGATTTCTTTAGATCAACAATATTTAATCATCAAAGAAATCTCAGACATAGGTACCAACATTAAATTTCAGGACTATTCATTATTTGTTTATAAATGTCTTGCTTTCAAATAGAATAAATACACTTAGGTCAAAGAAATATAAATTCAAAATATATGTCAATGAACAATTCTTAAAATTCTGAAAGTTAATTAAAAATAGTTGTGAGATCCCAATCCCATATGTTCTCAAGATTATGTAACCAAAAAATAGATATCTTTGATGCAGATTGTAAGTATCAGTTATCATAATTTTAAGACTAAGATAAAACTGCAAGAATATTTGAAAAAAAAAATCAAGAAATTCAATTATCGTACTATATTTCTGAAATATATTCGATCAATTTTATTTTCAGTATAGAAAAATATCAAATAATCAAAAGTTTCAAGCTCATGGACCAGCTTTGAATCTCCTGGACTTCAAAATAAAATAGTAATTAAAGATCTTGGGAAACTTATTTAGATTCTGAGATTTACATCATTTTTCGATAGGAAAATTCTTTGAGATAATAATAACAACAAAATTATGATTTTAAAACTTCGAAAAATCTTGAATCTCAATTATAGAAGAATCATGAAAAATCAGATTATAATTTGAATTTCTTTAAGTTTTTAAGATACCTACTGGATTTTGAATGTCCAGATTCTAATGTTTGATTAAAAATAAAAATTATTAAGCATTTTGTTTTTCGATTACTCGGACTAACTACTTCTTAGATCACGGAGTTAGCATTAGCATCGAACAAGTTGCACTATATCGTAGGTGGTACGAATTCAAAATTACTGTTTACTGGACAGATTACTGGACAGATTTCTGGACAGATTACTGGACAGATTACTGGACAGATAGTAAGTAGGAAATTATTACTATCTCCCAGATACATATTCATATCCCGCGCCAACAGTTAAGGATTGTCCTGGCCACGTCCTTACAACTGGTAGGGATAGGAAAGGTATGTTTTAGTTCAACATTTACTTAAGTGATATGCAGAGAACTCTACGACCTCTCATAAATGTCTCGTGAATTTAGGAATTATGTTAGTAGGGAAGGTAAGCTATTATGTAAGCAGTCAGTGTTGCTGGAAAATGTAGTTCAAATGGGTAGATCATAAATTTTTTATAAAATTTAGACACTCTGCAAGTGAAATTGACAAGTTTTATGTGTCAAACGTATACTTTTCAACCTTTTCTTGTAATTACAAAATATCATTATAGTATCCAATAATTCCATAATTCTAAAAACATATTGTATTGCGAAGTGATTGGAAGCAATCCTGTTTGCTCCAATTTTTAGCATATAAAACGTTTATAAAGACTAGAAATACTCAGAGGAAGAGATCAGCAGATAGAATTTTTTGAACCAAATGTACTGTCAAAATCTGGGTGAAACGAACATTCTTACTATAAATATTCAGAGAATTTTTATTTATTACTAGTTCAAATTTATTAATTGATCTTTGCTGGTTAATTAATGGGCCCAAGAATTGTGCAAAACATTACGATGCACTAAATTATTTATTACTTTGCACTTATTATTATTTTATTATTATTGGGAGCTGGAGCTGCGTGACAGATTTGTTTTCAAGACTTGACCCATTTGAATAAATTTTGCTTCTATTTTTGAAAATATAGCAGAAGGACTAACCTATGTTGGCAGCTTGAACACTGGATTCCGTGTGTATTATTTCAAGATAGTTTATTGTTATTGTTATTGTTGTTGTGCCATGCTGGAGGGGGAATTTATTTATTTATTTATTTCATCAACCGATGTAGACTAGTACAAATACATATACAAATTTGTTTTTCTTAAGAATATTAAAAAATATATTGTCAGCTATTATATTTTTACTTCCTACGAGTTATGATTCCGTATGGAGTTAAAATATTGTTTTAGTTTATGCCGAGACATTGAAAAGTCAATGGTTTCGCAGTATTGATTGTAAGACGCCATCATGCGATTTAATGGCCCAAATTTTGCATAATTTGTGCGATGATGGGTTACGGCAAATAAATTTCGATTTCTGAGTTGTCGAGTAGGTACATAAAAATTTAATTTTGATAAAAGTTCTGCTGAGTTAATGCGCTGCGAAACGATATCGTTTACAAACGAAACCATTGCGTATTCACGACGCTCTTTTAATGTTTGTATGTTTATAAGCATGCAGCGTGCTTCATATGATGGAAGAGGAAATGATGTCCAACCTAATTTACGAAGGGCATATAATAGAAATTGCTTTTGTACTGATTCTAATCTTTCTTCGTGCGTGATTGAAAATGGAGACCATACAATGCTGCAATATTCCAGTATTGACCTCACATAGGCAATATATAGTGTTTTAATTGTGTATGGGTCCTGAAAGTTATAGCAAAAGCGCTTGATAAAGCCTAGCATGTTATTTGCCCTGTGAATAATTGTATTGTAATGGTCTATGAAAGTTAGTTTGGAGTCTAAGATAATCCCTAAATCCCTGACTCTTTCACATTTTTCTACATTCTGATTTCCTAATGCAATTGAAATGTTTGATGGTGTTCTTTTTCTGCTAAATGATATTAAGTTGCATTTTTTTACATTCAGTTCTAATAGGCTTTTTTTACACCATGTGTAGAATATGTGTATTTCACTCTGGAATATATTGATGTCTTCATCATTTTTTATTTCCAAAAAGAGCTTCATGTCGTCGGCATAGATTAGCAATTTTATTTTTTTGAGAATGAAGGAAATGTCGTTTACGTACAGAATAAAAAGAAGAGTTGAGAATTGAGCCTGGTCACCAGTGTAATGTTCATGACCAATTGTACACCTTTCATGCAGCAATCAAATACATAAAGATGAGATGGCTGTTAGTTAATGAC